AATGAACATCTAGGAAACTAGAAATAGTTCAGAGACAAGCAATAAGAATGATTAAGGGCTTGGAGAGACTGAACTGAAATCAGATTAAAAGGCCTTACATTTGTTTAACGTGGCTAACAGATGACTAAAAGTGGGCATGATATCTGTTTATAAACATCTGAAGGTTGGGTGTAAACACGAAAGATAGAGTAGGATCACATAATATGGCACTAAAAGGATTTGACTTGAGAAAAAATTTCAAGAGAGAATTGAGGAGTAAATATAATGAAGCTGTCTCCCAGAGAGTATGCATTTCCTTTTCTTTAGAGACTCAGCCAAGAATGAGGAAGTTTAGCAGAGAGCTGGGCAGAAGAGAATGACCCGACAGGTCCCCTGCAGATCTGATTTCTTCACTTTCACTAACCAGTAGAAAACCTTTTTAAGCTTGATCTGTTTGCACAAAAATTACTCAGAAAGTGTGTTTATTTATAGATTTTAGAAAACCAACAGCACAGCACTTTAGATTCCTGGGCAATCATATTTTATCTTCATTTGCTCTGTCATTGGCAGAGTAGTAGAGAAAACAGTGTTAAACCTAGTTCATATTGATACTGGCCTCTAAAAGTCCACTCTCCCAAAACTCAAAGGGTTGGGCTTAGAATTTATTGGGAGACAACCAAATGACTTTATTTTTTAAGAATTGTGTATACTTCCAGCTGGACTTTGAAGGTACCAAAAACGAGTAATTTAAGAGATCTATTTGAGGATTATTTCTACAAGTATCCAGTCTTCTGGCTTCTTTTTTGGTGAATGTGGGATTGAGGACAGAGCAGGACCCTGTGGTGCACTCCCGGGTACAAATCCTTTCCATGTCCCCCTCTTCTTGTTTGTAGGAATCAGGCTTCATTCAGTCTCCTAAAACATTTCCTGAGTTCCAAAGCACGCCTTCTCCTTGCTTGGCCCTGGAATAATCCTTTCTCTACTCCAAACTCTGATGTTTTGGTTAGTTTGGCGTCGGGCACATGAACTTGTGTTCAGTAATAGTCTTATTCCATTTTTTAGCCTAAAGTTTGCCCTTACTGAAGTGATGGAAAGGTTTTCCCTTAAGGTTACTTTAAAATAAAATTAAAATAAAAATAGAGTTTTGGATTGTGAGCTCTTAGAGGGCTTTGTTTGTTTAATTTGACTTACACACTAACCAATGCCAAAAAGGTGCCATGCACACTTTCAAAATAAACAAATAGTAGATGATAACTGCAGGAGGGGTTGGCTAAAGGAATTGCTAATACGTGAATCCTTTATTTCCACTGATTTTCACTATAAAGTCACATTTTTTTTCTCCCCCCAACAACCAATGTCCTTTCTTAGATGAAGTTGAACGTTCATGGATATTCTGATGGTCTGATTCATGTCATATCGGATCTGCTAGTGTTTCTGAATCACTTCCAGAATTTTTCAGCAGATTTCTGACTTCAGAATTTTCCTCCCTACATATCCTGTCAGGCTCTTTTAGCTCCTCTCCATTGATCTACTTTCTCCCCTCCTTCTCATTGCCTTGTAGAACTTTGTTGCAGTACCAGACTGCGCCAATAGATGCTGCCACTTCTTGATGTTACCAGTTTAAGTTTCTTTTTCAGTGGCTAAGTCCTAAGACTAAGTGCTTGTTGAGGATCAATGCAGAAGGTAATGAGTAGCTGCTCTGATCTCCCATGAGAGTAATTTGCTTTTTAATTGTGGGCTTATGAATTGTTTGAATTTTACTAGTAAGAAAAATAATAAAAATTAAATTAAGTTTAGAAAAATGATACAGATGAACCAGTTTGCAAGGCAGAAATAGAGACACATGTAGATAACAAATGTATGGGCACCAAGGGGGGAAAGCGGGGATGGGTGGTGGTGGTGGGATGAATTGGGGGATTGGGATTGACATATATACACTAATATGAATACAATAGATAACTAATAAGAACCTGCTGTGTAAAAAAAATAAAATTCAAAAAAGAATTAAATTAATTTTAAGAAGACACTTCAGTTTCAGATACTTCAAGTATATTTTAGGCATGGAAATCAACAATTGACTAATACCATAATTTTAAATGCCATACCTAAAAGAATTTTGGACTCAACATTTCTCTACAGTAATGGAAATGGAAGGCTGGAAAATTTGTTTTGGAAAGCCCAGGGGACAGAAGGAGTGTAATGCTTTAAGCGAGTGTTTCTCAAACTGGTGTGTCAGATAATTTTAGGTGGTACAAGATAATTTTTATTTCTATAATAAAGATTTATTTGCAAGGTCATCTTCTATTTGTGGCAAATTATATTGGTTTTCCATTTATGATGATAAAAATTTCATTTATCATATAAAATTATATAATAATAATAGCTTATTTAAATAATAATATTGAGTCAATAATATTAAAGGTGATATGGCAATAATTATAAAAGTGGTATTCAGTAGAAATGCTGGAAATAATGCCTTGTCTAAATATGCAATACATTTTTGCCTATACAACCTTAAAATTCTTAAATTTCTTGTTCTCAACTTATTTCAAAGGTGGACTGAAAATGTGAGATTTTATATCAGTCCTAGTGGCATCTATGTAATATATGTTTATTTAAGGCTATGTAAATGGATTTGAAAGTAGTAATAAGAAGTTAACTAATATTGTGATGTGATTCTCTTTTTTGGGGGGGGGAGATAACTTCTGTAAACATATTCTTATGTAGATTATAAAAAATTACGTGGGAGAAAAGTAACTTGAAAGCAAGATCAGTATTGCTGAAAATATGATTTTAGAAGGGGGTAAAGAAACATGCTAAAAGACTGTGTGAACAATATGCTGCACTAAAGTATGAATTTTTATTTTATCCAAATTATGCATCTTCTCACTTTTAATCAGAGGTCAAACTAACACATAATATTTCATACCAAAACGAAATTTAAAAATCTGTGGCCTTATGAGAGTATTACATTCAGCATTGTACTTAATTTTTACATGATAATTACTATAGCCACTGAGCATTCCTAGACAGTGAATGATTGACAAAACATTTAAATTGCATACTTTGCCTGTAACATATAAACTGTACTAAAATAGTTACTATTTTTCTCACTACTACCACTAATAATAATAGCATGACAGTGGCTAGCAGTTGTTTGAATCTTAGGTCTGCCATTTATTAGCAATTTGCTAAAAATTCTGAGCCCTTAGTTTTCTCACCTGTAAAATGGGGAAAACAAGACTTGCAAAGTTAATTAAATCTGCCCATTGATATTTCCCTCTTAAGTGTATAATAACTGGCATCCTCTTCAGGCCGGAATGTGGCTCTAGATCATGGTCCAAATCCCCTTTGCGCCAAACCCACTGCCAGAACCCTTTCTACCTTGAGCGTCAGAAGAGGCACATGCCTGGCAGTGCCTAAGCCCTCCAAAATAAATCTGCAGGAAAGAGCACCCAGTGAGTGATGAGAACAATGAGCACGTTTATCAGTTTAAATTTACAACCTCACCTTTCCCATTGCCTATTAATAATTGTAGATAATGCCCCATTAATCAAAAAATAAGTTGAAACTGTAAGTATTCAATACTTGTTTTTGTGTTTGAACTTGACAGTGTTGGTGTTCCGTTGCTTAAGACTAAGGTAAAGCAGAGGGTGAAATTTTTTCCTAAATTTTGTACAGAATATAATTCAGTTGATAATATATTAGAACTAAATTTTCTTTGGGAGCAATTTCTACTAGTTAACTTGTAATCTCTCGGGCCACATCTAAGGCAGTATAAGTGGCTGCTTGTTGAATCATAAGCTTTGTGTTTTGAGACCACTGGGTTTATCTTGGGGAACATCCCTTAGGTTTCTTTGGGCCTCAGTTTCCTTATCTCTTGTACGGGATTAAATAACCACCATAGAGTTGTGAAAATTACATGAGCTCACATGTACCATAAGTGACCAGTGTAATGACTGACAGTAAATTCTCAATAAATTAAAACACTTATAATCAACGACAATTAAAAAAGATATTCCTAACATTGATAATAGGTTTTGCGAAGAGGTGCTTAAATGGATACAAAATGTATGTATTGTTTATTGCCAACTTTGCTCACATCTCTGATTGTGATATCCACGTGTGTGCATGTAGAATATGAGATCCTATGTGGGTGCATACTGCATGCGCAGAAGGCTTACGCATGAAATGTCCCTTCAGCAATGTGCCTGGGGAAGCTCTGACGCTGCCTTGGAAGTCGGTCGTCGCAGCCCGACCTTTGGGCGTCTGGGAGGGATGCCTATACCTACGTCCAGCACTGGAAGGGGCCCAGGCCCTTCGAGCACAGCCTATCCCCAGACTGCTTACTTGTGCCTCGCATACATCTTCACCGAAAAGGGTATTTCCTCCGTTCAGAGAAAGCTCCCCAGTCCGACGTGGGGTGGATTTTACTTTACGTTGTGGCAAGTAGAAGTTCCTCCTCTCTCTTCCCTTGGGGTAAGTGGAAAGGAATCTCGCAGGGAGCCCGCAGTGGCCGACACCCAGGGATCTGGTAGCGACCGAGTTACAGACAGCTCGGGGGCTGCCGGGCCGAAGCAGGTGGGGACTGAACCGTTCCCCGGTCCGGGGAGGGGAGTGCGGCCGCGGGTCCCTCCCCTCCGCCGGGAGGTGGCAGCGGCCGGCGCCAGGCCAGTGGGGGCGGGGTGGGGGCGGCGCGGAGGGCGCAGAGATCTCTGCGGCGCCACTGGGGACGCCCAGGGCCCCGAGCGGTCCCCACGCGGGACCACAAACGATGACAACAGGCAATTGCTCCAGGTCGAATAAAAAGGAGTCGCTTCCCCGCGCGCCGCCGCCCCCCGCTGCCTGCCCCGGGGGGGGGCCCCCCCCC